CGCTTCACACCGTGAGTTTAATCACACTTGGATCGATATTTCCCGCCCAACTTTGCCGCTCACATGGAATCCACCAATGCAGGACAGTAAGTTGACTGCCCAAGCAGGATTTCCTAAGCAATCGTCTAGAATCCACCAGAATGACTACTAGGCTAAAGTAATTATTAAGTTGTTTTGGTTATTAAGTTGGTTTGACAGATTTGGTTAATTTAGTTGACCCAATTGTGAAAGAAATCGGCGGCATTCGGCGGGATTCGAACCCGCATAGGAGAGTGGCCTTTTAGCCAAGTCAACGATCTACCCACTTGAGCTGCGAATGTCGCGCTTCACACCGTGAGTTTAAATTTTCTATATTTCTATTTTCTATATTTCTTCGTGATTGCTGTAAATGATATCCAAAGAGCTAATCAGGCGGTCCTCGCGTGTTACGCTCGATAGGATCTATAATATGGGCGACTCTGATCTCACGGGGGGAGGTGAATATATCACTACAAGGGTTTATGCGCACAAACGTGTGGCAGACGTTAATGAACGTTAATGAATTCCGCTAACGCCTTACCTTCTCAATAATTCATATTTCCAAAATATTTATATGCACTTTTGCACAACAAAAGTGATCTGCAACAATGTTTGCATATTTCACAAAAACGTATGCATTCCTGTACTCTTTCAATGGAATTTTTAAGGGCTACGACCATTTACTCCAAATATACTGACTGAACTGGCTCGTCGCGTTCAAACCACATGTTTTGCGGTTTGTCCTCTTTTGTCGAAACTCGCATACAGTGTACACAATCTCGAACTCTGTCTACACGACCACCGAGCCCGATGCTTACACCTTTACCGTCATTGTATTCCCCTGTTTTTATTAATGAAAAAAGGAATGGAAGTAAAGCAGGAGCGAATATAGTGATCCGTCCTCAAAATTGGAGTTGCGTAACAAAAAAATCTCGCGAAACGTGAAAATCCGCGAAGTAAAAACCATATGTTTATGTATTTATTTATCTATTTCTATGCGCCTTTAAACCCTCCGGTTTACCTACACATATTCATTCCCCAGATACATACCCGAAACCCCTTTGTATTCTCTTCAATAATTGGTAATGTTCGTTGAAGAGGTGTTTATTTTTATATATCAAGCACAGATACACTTCTGTTATAGAAGCGCTTACTTTACTTTCCTATACAGGCAGCCGCCAATATCGGCCCTTGTATTGAAGTAACTGGGCGAACCAGGAGATGAAAGTATTTCTTCGAAACAGAAAATTATATTATACGCAGAAGTTTGCGAATCAGACAGAATCCGCGATAGAATAAGCGCCCTAAATTCAAAACAGGGTATACTGAGCGAAGGAGACTGTGATGGTCATCTCATGATCAGTAGAAAGAAATTCTTCTTTAACTCGGACAAACTTTCCATTCCAGCTGATTGAACGGTGGACTTTAATTTTATTCTGACAATTTACAACCAGGAGGAACATGTGTAGATATAATTATGGCTGGGGTATAAATGTGAGTTATTTTTATTTAAAACTGTAGTATGCCTGATAGGGACCTCTTCTTCTGCCAAACCCTGAGCGTAATTCGTGGGCGTTCGTGTTTTCAGGTGGACTTTGCAGACCCCTATATTGGCGGTGAATTTCTTCGCTTCGGTAACGTTCAGGAGGAGTTAATGTGCTGTATGCAACCGGAGATCCTAGCTGGTCGCCTCTTCATGGAACGTCTTCTGCCGCAAGAAGCCGCCCTCGTCATTGGCGCCGAGAGATTCTGCAGCTGTACTGGTTATGCGCGCAATCTAGCGTGGTCAGAGGATTTTAGGGAAGCCGATCAAGGCAGTGTTCGGTAGGTTATTCTCAGTTATTTGCATATTTTTCTCGCCAAAGAAAACACTAGCTATATTTTCCTATCACGCAAACCTCTATAAGTAATTCTGCATGTGTACTTTGACATTTTCCTTGCAAATCTGATTTTAAACTGTGTATTCGATTTTACGCAGTTGTGTCAACCGAATTTGTGGCAATACTTGCCTTGCCCTCTGTAGACGTTCCTTAAGAGATAAGCGTAATTGCATTAAGATTGCACCTTTAACTGCCGAAACCGTCTTTTAATTAGGTTAATAATGATTCGGGCTATTCCAGTCTCCCTGGTCCTTTTTGGTGTAATTTATTTGCACCATGTACTGCTGGCCATTAAGCGGCTGCTGGCAGAGCTGGAGTGTGA